TTGGCAACTCTCTTCGTTTTAATATCATTAGAGAACAAACCATACAAACTGAAACTTAAACAAGAAGAATCCTAATTAAAATGCATTTTCATTTAGATTAAAGTTCTACTTTTTTTCCAACATCATCATCTTCTTCTGTTTTTGCTTATTTTTCTGCTCTTGTGGCTAATACATGTATAATGAATGCCATCATCATCATAACAACATGGTTGGTTAAGTGGGTGGTGCTTGGGAGGCAAGAGGATGTAAGAATGTTGTTGAGGGCCATGTGTTGGGTTATATGACAATGAACATGAACATGATATAAACGTGATTAGATACAAGAATGGTGGTTTGAGGGAATGGGCAGGGGAGAAGAGAAAACTTTTCTAATATAAAATTTAGTAGAGGGATTTAAAGCAAAAGGTAATTTTTCACATGAACCGTTATAATGAACGCATGTTACTTATTACATATTTATTTTTGTTTTTGTAGTTGTTTAAATCTATGTTCATATGTATATGAGAAACAGTAGGTTATGAGAATATTTATAATTGTTCGTGTGTAGGAGAGTATGTATGTGTTTTGTAAAAAAAAAGTTTTTTAATTACTAACTGAATAAATGACTGGTAAGTTCGTTGGTTTGGCTGACTGCCTGCCTTGCTTGCAAGCCTGTTGTTGTTGTTGCATGTATTTTAATGAATGGCTTGAAGGCATATTTAATTACAAAAAGCTGCTAATTAGGAAATATTGTATTTGTTGTTGTATTTCATTATTATTATTGTTATTATTACACACGCCCACGTCAGTCAATTTGTTTGCAAACCAATTAACTCATCGTCTGATACTAGGCGCACAGTATTTAACCACAAAATAGTAAGTAATTCTCTCATTCTTCTTGTTGTTTTCAGTTTTTCAACAACAGCAGCAGTAGCAGCAGTAGTAGTTGTAGTATTTCAATTGTATATGTGTTATTTTCTCTGTTTCCTCAGCGGCAGCAGCAGAAGCCGCAGCAGCAACGGCAACAACAATATATACAAACAAACCACTGCTACTAACTGCAAAATGTAATTAAAACAAACCAGAAAGTTAAACAAACCAAACAGCCGACCCACCAACTCACAGACAAACTGACAGAGAAGCAAACGAATGAACGAACAATTAAATGAACTAACGAATATACAAATCTAAATGAATGAATGGATGAAACGATGACTAATGAACATATGACCACGAGACACTTGGTCACTATGACAGTAAGTGTAAATGACGACGTCACAGACAGAGATGACGAACGTTTAAAGAACTTTTTATACATTACATATGTTTACAACGCCCCTTACTCACTCACTCACTCCCTATTTAGCAGCACTTCTCGCTTTAACTTTTGCAAAACGTTAGCGCCAAATTCATAAGCTTGCTTCTGCTCTGCCTGGCTAGACTGTCTGACTCGCCAGCCTGCATAACTTAACTTTAAAACTCTGGCAGTCAGTTGTTAGTTGGCGGCTCATGCATCGTTATCGTTATCTTTTAGTTAAATACAAAAGACAACAATTTACAAAACAAGTGTTAATTGCAATTAAAATTTTTAGATAAATAGACAATAATACGTTACTTTGAATATTTAAAATTTACCGCTTAAAAGATAATGTAGCAAAGTAACAAACTTGTTGTTTTAATAGTGAATAGAAAAGAAAATCCTTTTTGACTTGTGCGTGTTTTAAATTAAACTTTTAATGAGCTTTAAATGTTGTAAATCCTTAAAAGTAAATATGAAGTTAGAGTTAAAATAATTTTTCTGTGCGGGCTGTAGTAAATCCCTCGTTTACTACAAGACTGGCATAACTGAAAAATTGCAAGCAAAAAAAAAAATTTGCAAAAACACGTTACTTATGGAGCTGTGTGTTGTTATTGTTTTGTTAATGCCAAAATCAAAGATGGAAAATTAGGTGTGAAAAATTAGACAGGGGTGGGCGAAAAAAATGATTGTTCTGTTAATGTCAAAATCAAAGATTGAAAATTATGTGTGGGAAATTAAGCAGGGGTGGACGAAAAATTTAATTAAAAATTATTTAATTTTAAAAATTAAATATTTGTAACTCTGTTACTAAGGTTTATTTTTGGTGTTTTTGAGTTTGAGTCGATATTCGACTTTGTCTAATCTTATATACCCTTCACCATAGTTTTTCAATGTTGTTGTTGCTATTTTGTCAAAACTTGAAAGAAATTGTCGGTTTTTTATGAACTTTTCAGATGTTATCTCGGATTTTTGCTCATATCTCCGTTATTTATGGACGGATTTTAATGATTTTAAATAGGAAAGTTCTTGAAGCATGAAGCTGACAGAATAATTGAAGATTTGAATCCCAAAGATATCTGGGGTCTTCAGAAAATTGATTTCAACAGACACACAGATGGACGGACGGACAGACAGATGGACATGGCTTAATCGACTCCTCTACCTATAAGGATCCAGAAAATATACACTTTATTGAATCTATAAAAAGCGACGTTTTGGTACTTTTTTGGTTTTTCAAAAGGTACTTTTTGAATTTTGTATAATATTGAATTTAGAAACATAAAATTAAACATTCACAGTTCTGAATGACTAAAAATCAGTAAGAAAGGATTATTTTACGAACATATCCTGTTCCACATAGGTTCTATAGAATTTTGTGAGTGTTTTTGGACAGACATACATTATCTTCTAAATTATACAACGGCCCAGGGAAAATTGTATTATTTCCACAATTATGTGGTTCTTCTCATGACATTTCTGAGGGATTACGATCAATATAGAAATTAAATGAACAAGCCTAAAGATAAAACAAGGAAGAATTTATGGTCGGGCATGGCCGACTATATGATACCATACACCAGTGTTACAAATGTTAATTATTTTTTTTAATAATAAAGTATTTCATATCATTTTTACCTTAAATCAGAAATAAATTTTGCCTATTTTTGTAGTGATACAAGAACATTTAACATATTTATGAGCTCAAAAGCCCTATTTGGGGGGTACAGTTGTATGGGAGCTCTACGAAATAATAGACCGATTTTAACCAATTTCAATAGGCTTCGTCCTTGGGTCAAAAGAAGAAGAAGAAGCCAAAATGTAATTTTCTTAAAAATTGCTACCTATAGAGTGCGCACAAGGTTTACATGGACAGACGGATAGACGGACATTGCTTAATCAACTCAGAATGTGATTCTGAGTATACTTTAAGGTGGCTGTAGGACCAATATTTTTGGGTGTTACAAACATCAGCACAAACGCATAATACCCTCCCCACTATTGTGGTGTAGGGTATAAAAATCAACACCAATGTTCCATCAAATTCTAATACATTCCTAAATCTAAGGATTCTGAATTAACCGACACTATTGTCAATTTATTAAGCAAATTTTCATATAAAATTTGTTCTATTAATATTGTTAATATTTTAATAAATAAGACCCTTAGTGTTTAAGTCGTTTGATCTGTTCTGGTGTTAGAAAATTAACTAACAATTTGGGATTTTAATATCAAATCACTGGGAATGAATTTTCATGTTTTTATATAAATTATCTTCTTTTAAATATTTTAACAAGTGGTATTCTAATCTTTATAATACCCTAATGTTTAACGATTTTTAATTAAAAAAAATTAAACACAAACACTGCCTCTTAGTAATGAAAAAGACACTTTACAAATAACTAAATTCTACGAAAACCATATAAAAATCACACTGATAATAATCAATATTGGAAGAGTGATAACGATTCTCTCTCACTCTCTCTCTCTCTTTATTTCTTAATATTATCTCTTTTTTCAAAACACAACAATTTTCAAACGACCATATAAACAAAATCATAACAAAGATTGGTACATTCTAAACATTGCTGAGCTCCTGGTAAAATATCAAAAAATCGAAATTTAAACAAATATAATTTGTATGTGTTTATTTATGATTTATAAGGAAGGGGTCGTTCATTTGGAAAAGTTTATTCTGTACTAAAATACAAAATAGGTTGAACTGAAAATCTCTTTCAACTCAAAATATCTTCTAACTACGACAACTGAAAGCCTAATAATAAACAAGCAAAAAAATCGATCGCAAACATTTTATATTATGATTATCATACACATTTTCGAGGTCAAACAAAATTCTCTCAAACAAAAAATTCCCCAAAAACTTGAAAGTTTTATACATTAAGTTTAAATGAAGTGTTTGTTGTATTATACTAATTTTATATGCAAGTTTTCTAGTTTTCTATAGCTTTTTTAGAGTAATTAAACAAATATATGTTTAGTATTCAAATATTAATTCAATTTTTTTAATAATTGTTGGGGCGGATTAGTTAGCTTTATTAACTAGGCTCTCAGTATTTGTAACAAGTTATTTAAAGTTTTTTTTATATTCTAGCTGGGTGTTTTTAATTTTTGGTTTTGTTATACCAAGAGGGCGACTAAACAACTAGTCTTTTTGTTAGTTGTTCAAATAGACAAATGCATTTTATGTTTGTCTCTACATTTGTTGTTTAACTCATAAATACAATAAAACCAAACGCATTTTTTTTGTCTATTTTTTGTTTATTCATACGCATTAGATATTCAAATAGTTGTTTGGTTTATCAGATAAACGAAATAACCAGCCCGCCAGTCAGACAATAAAAATGTGTGAGTAGTTTTCATGATTACGCTGCTGCTCAAGTGCCATGACAATCTCAATACAATTTGTAATTATTTATGGGGGTCACACGCACCGATATGGATTTATTTTATGTAAAACTTGTTGCCCTGTTACTTTTGCTTAGAAAAAAAGCTTAATTTTTGAACTAAGAACTTTTCTGTCACTAGCTTTTCAAGTTCAGGGGCTTGAGTGTGCAACAGAATCAATAAAAGCAAATTGTTGTAATAAAATTTCAATCTAAGAGCTTGAAACTTTAGCAATATAAATGTCTTAACTACTCTAACTCTAAATCTTTATATAAAATTACACTTAGATTTATATTTTTCCTTTTTTATTTACTTTCAGTTTCAAACATTTTGATGTCTGACTTGTATTGTTGTTCACAACCTTAAACATTAGATGAATAATCCCTTAACCCTTTAAAAAGATATTGATGAAAGCTCAAGTGAACAAAAACCAGCTCATTTGAAAGGAAGATGACAATCAAGCCATGTTAGAGCCATTTTTAATCACGAAACTTGCTGAAACTCATAAGTAGATATACAATATTGGCAAATTGACACCAATATAAAGTTACAAAGAAATCTACAAACTGTAAAAAATATATTTTAAATAAAACTTAATTAATTGAAATTAAAAAAAAAAATCATCTGTGTTTTATTTATTATTGGAAATCAGCCTAAAAGAGGAATAATAATTCGTCTAACTAAGCTTTCTAATGAACAATTTACAAAAACCAACTAAAATCTTACATAAAATAAAACAAACGTTCTGGCAACTCTGCCAAAATAATTTTTTATTAATCTTCAATATATCCTCTAGCAAACAAAAGAATCCCAATTAAAATCGTTTCAATAATTTTGAAGATATAACGTTTTGAAAATGTACGCTTAAATCATACAAAGTTCGATTGTCTGGCAACTCTAGCAAACAAAAATAAAATCTCCAATACACCCTCAACCCCTTAAAAGAAATCTGAACAAAATCGGTTTAACAGTTTTGAAGTTATAGCGTTTTAAACATGTGCACCTAACATACACTTAATTCTACTAGTCTGGCAACCCTGACAAATAAATTTTTCCTACAACGAGTAGCTTAAGTCAATACCTTTCGATTGCACCTAATATGATGCCAAACGCTTAAGTACTTACAAAGTTTTACACATTTAAAAAACTTCACACAATATACACATTTTCACAAGCCTGACAACTCTGGTGAAATAAGTTTTTCATAAAACTGATAACTTATATTACAACATAACGTTTGACTCCACTTTCATTTAAATCACTCAAATACTTTCAGAGTTATAGCCATTTTAAAAATCCCTTATTTTACCCAATTTTTCGAAACACGGCAACCCTGTCACGACATCAGTACAGCGCCATCTATTGATGGGGTACATGGGTTTTCTGCAAACGAAAAAATGACGCCAACACACATCAATTTTCAAAACGTTATAACTCGAAAACTACTTAAAATAATTAAAATAATTTTATATGGACCGATAGGAAAATAATTCAAGATTTTAAAAATTTATTTTTCCAGGGTTGCCAGGTTGTTAGTTTGCTAATATTGTTAAGAAAATGAGTGGTACCTACTACAGGCTATAAATCGAAAAGTACTGAATTGAGATGAGTAAGTTGTATATAGATTTGTAGGGAACATATTAAATATTTCAAAAATTTATTTGCCAGGGTTTCCAGGCTGTTAGTTTGATTATATTTTCAATTAAATGAGTGCATACCTTCTACAGGCTATAAATTAAATTATACTGAACCGATTTTAAAAAACTGTATATATATTTGATGGTGATGGATTGAAGATGCCAAAAATTTATTTGCAGGGTTGCCAGGCTGCCAATTTAATCAATTTTGATGCAATTGAATGACTAGAAACTTTGTTTGTTTAATTTCAGCTTTTTCAATTATTGGTTGGCTGATTGGTAAAAATCAGTTTTTCAGAGTCACCAGAGAGTTCAAAACTAAAAACTTATCTTTATTCAGAGATATGTTTATATATTTTTTTACATTTTCAGAAAATATTGCCAATTGTCGTATTGCATGTATGATGTTTAAATCAGATCGCGTAGAAAACGTAATTTTTTAGTTTGAATCTTATGGCAACCCTGGAAATCAAAATTTTAGGGATTATTTTGTTAAGTTATCTATATACATACTTATTTGTACAGTATGAATAGTGTACTTTATTCAAGGAAAGATGGGATCACAAAATTAAAGCATGTAGAAGATTAAATTTGATTATTTCAAATTATGATAAAATTATAAGCCTGGCAACCCTGGCAAAACATTTTTCTTAATCCTTAATTCAGCTCCTACAAGTCTATATACAATTTATCCAAATCGGTTCAGTAGTTTCTGATTTATAGCCTCTAGAAGGTACCTTTTATTTACATCAAAATAAAGTAAAATTAACAGCCTGGCAACCCTGGAAAAATAAGTTTTTAAAATCTTGAATTAATTTCCTATCGGTACACGTAAAATTTATCCTAATAGGTTCAGTAGTTTTCGAGTTATAACGTGTTGAAAATTTGTGTCTGTTGCCCTCATTTTTTCGTTTGCAGAAAAACCATATACCCCACCAATAGATGGCGCTGTACGGATGTCGTGACAGGGTTACTGTGTTTTGGAAAATTGGGCAAATTTAGGGATTTTAAAAACTGCTATAACTCCGTAAGTACTTGAGCGTTTAGGGTAAAAGTGGTGTCAAACGTTAGCTTGTAATTTAAGCTATTGTTTCATGCTAAATTTATTCCACCAGGGTTGCCAGAGTTGCGGAATTTTGTATATTGTAGTAAAGTTTTTTTGAATAGTTATAACTTTGGAAGTTTTTAAGCAATTGTAGTGATTTAAGTATTGATGGATAGCTGTTCATATAAATTAATCGTTTGAAAAAAATTATTTTGCCAGTGTTACCATAGAGTTAATAATTTGTAGGTTTCTTTGAAGAGGTATAACTTAACTATTTTTTGTGCTAATGTTGTGAGTGTAGTGTCAAACGAAAGCTTGTGATTGCAATTTTATATTTAATGGAAAATTATCTTACCAGGGTTGCCATATAGCAAGAAATTTGTAGATTTAATGCACTTTTTTAAATAGCTATAACTTGGTTTTTAAAATAGCTATAACTGTTTTTAAGACATCTATAACTCCGTAAGTACTTGAGCGTTTAGGGTAGGAGTGGTGTCAAATGTTAGCTTATAATTTAAGCTATTTGTTTAATGTAAAATTTATTCCACCTGGGTTGCCAGAGTGGCGAAACTTTGTATATTGTTGTAAAGCTTTTTTGAAAAGTTATAACTTCAGAATTTGTAAAGCAATTTTAGTGATTTAAGTATTGTAGGAAAGCTGTTCATTTAAATAATCAACTGATGAAAAATTATTTTGCCAGTGTTGCCATATGGTTAAGAATTCGTAGGTTTAATTAATTTCTGTTTGAATAGCTATAACTTTAATAGATTTTATGCTAATGTTGTGAAGGTAGTGTCAAACGAAAGCTTGTGATTGGAGTTTTATATTTAATGGAAAATTATTTTACCCGGGTTGCCATATATTAAGAAATTAGTATGTTTAATGCATTTTTTGAAATAGCTATAACTTCAATAATTTTTAACCTATTTTAGTAAAAGTAGTGTCAAACAAAAGCTTAGAATTAGTGTTTTATAATTTATAAAAATTACTTTGCCAGGGTTGCCAGAGAAAACATATTTCTAAATAGTCTTGAAGTTATAACGTTTCAAAGATATATGTTGAAATCTCCCCAAATCAGATAGTCTGGCAACTCTAGCAAACGAAACTAAATCTTCAATACATCCCCTACCCTTTAAAAGAAATCTGATCAAAATCGGTTCAATAGTATCGAAGTTATAAAGTTTTAAACATTTGTGTCTAACATACTCTAAATTCCGCTAGTCTGGCAGCTCTAATCAAATAATTTTCGTACAACAAGTAGCCTAAGCTACTATTTTTAAATTGCTCCAAATTTTATGCAAAACGCTTGAGTATATTTAAAGTTTAACAAATTTAAAAAAAGTTTATACAATAAAGATATTTAAGAAGTTTGGCAACTCTGGTGATATAAGTTTTTCATAAAGCAGATAGTATATATTACAAGCTAACGGGCGACATCAATTTCATTTAAATCACTCAAATACTTTCAGAGTTATAGCTATTTTAAAAATATAATTCGACTTACTATCCTTCCAGACGTACAATTTGCAAACATTTGTTTAAAACGGTCATAAAATAAAACAAATGATCTGGCAACTCTCTCGAAATTGTTTTTATTGATCTTTAATATGTCCTCCAACATCCAAATCAATCCCGATCGGAATCGGTTCAATAGTATCGAAGTTATAACGTTTTAAACATATGTCTCTAAAATACACTCAATTCCGCTAGCCTTGCAACTCTGGAAAACAAATTTTTTTTAAAACAAGTAACTGAAATCAATACCTTTCGATTGCACCTAATATGATGCAAAACGCTTAAGCGCTTTCAAAGCTTTATTAAGTTAAAAAATGTTTATACAATATATATATTTTCACAAGTTTGGCAACTCTGGTGAAATAAGTTTTTCATAAAACTGATAACTTATATTACAACATAACGTTTGACTCCACTTTCATTTAAATCACTCAAATACTTTCAGAGTTATAGCCATTTTAAAAATCCCTTATTTTACCCAATTTTTCGAAACACGGCAACCCTGTCACGACATCAGTACAGCGCCATCTATTGATGGGGTACATGGGTTTTCTGCAAACGAAAAAATGACGCCAACACACACCAATTTTCAAAACGTTATAACTCGAAAACTACTTAAAATAATTAAAATAATTTTATATGGACCGATAGGAAAATAATTCAAGATTTTAAAAATTTATTTTTCCAGGGTTGCCAGGTTGTTAGTTTGCTAATATTGTTAAGAAAATGAGTGGTACCTACTACAGGCTATAAATCGAAAAGTACTGAATTGAGATGAGTAAGTTGTATATAGATTTGTAGGGAACATATTAAATATTTCAAAAATTTATTTGCCAGGGTTGCCAGGCTGTTAGTTTGATTATATTTTCAATTAAATGAGTGGATACCTTCTACAGGCTATAAATTAAATTATACTGAACCGATTTTAAAAATATATATTTGATGGTGATGGATTGAAAATGCCAAAAATTTATTTGCAGGGTTGCCAGGCTGCCAATTTAATCAATTTTGATGCAATTGAATGACTAGAAAAACTTTGTTTATTTGATTTCAGCTTTTTCAATTATTGGTTGTAAACAAACTAAAAATCAGTTTTTCAGAGTCATCAGATAGTTCAAAACTAAAAACTTATCTTTATTCTGAGATCTGTTTATATTTTTTTTTTACATTTTCAGAAAATATTGCCAATTGTTGTATTACATGTATGATGTTTAAATCAGATCGCGTAGAAAACGTAATTTTTTAGTTTGAATCTTATGGCAACCCTGGAAATCAAAATTTTAGGGATTATTTTGTTAAGTTATCTATATACATACTTATTTGTACAGTATGAATAGTGTACTTTATTCAAGGAAAGATGGGATCACAAAATTAAAGCATGTAGAAGATTAAAT